TAACTGAGCGTTCTTTTGAAGCGGTCTGATGAAGTGCAGTTGTCATGGGTGACTAGGTGTTGATCGTGGCCTCTAGGGCCTGTCCCTCAGTATATTCTAACAGCAGCGTTTCAAGTCAGTGGGAAGGTAGACTATTTGATAAGGCTGGTTACCCAGGGCTAGCTCCTGGCATGGTGGTGGGGGGACCTGGATCCCTCATGGCTGACTGCATGGTTCTAGTTCTGGACCTGGTGGTCTAGAGGACATGCCAGGGGTATGTGCACGTGCAAGCCCAAAATCCCGAGAAGAGAACAGAGGAGGGGATTGCAGTGTGGCCATCCCCTTTTTCTTGCTTCTCTCCACAGAGTACACGTGCCATAGCAAATTAAAATAAGTAAAATAGAATAAAAGTGGCTATCCACTTGTCTTAGTTCCTGCTGCTATAACAGAAACTTCAGACTGAGTAATTTATAAATAATAGATATTTTTTCCCTCACAGCTTTGGAGGCTGGGAAGTCAAAGATCAAGGCGCCAGCAGATTCACTGTCTGGTAAGGGCTACTCTGTGCCCGAGATGATGCCTCATCACTGCATCCCCTGGAGGAGACTGACTAATACTGTGTCCCCACATGGCAGAAGAGATGCAAAGGCTAGGCAGCTCTCTGAAGCCTCTTCTCTAAAGGATATTAATCCCTTATTTATGAGGGTGAGTCCTCAAAGCCCTACCTCTTAATATCATCACCTTGAGCTTTAACTCCCAACATGAGCATTTTTATTTTAGTTTATTTTAGTTTTGGTAGAGGTTTTTTGCCTTAGGGTATGTGCACTCACTGGAGAGAGCGAGAGAAGGAAATTGAGAAATCATCCCCCAGGTGCGATGGCAACCCTGCAATCCCTTCTCCTCCATTCTACTCTTGGGATTTTGCGCACACACATACATGTGCACAACATGAGTTTCAAGCCACTGGGTCTGGGATGCAAACTGCAGTCAGCCATGTAGGAGTCCAGCAAAGTAACCACTACACCACCTGCTGGTCACCATATGCATTTTTTTTACAGAACTATTTATTGGGGCCAACAGGTGGTGTGGTGATTAAGGCACTGGACTCCCTCTCTGTCTCTTGCAGGTCAAATTAGAAAATAATAAAATTGGGAAACAGCAGTTAGCATAATGGCTATGTCGCTGAACTCCCACGTAGTCGACCGCAGTTCGCGTCCCGGACCCGGTGGCTTAAAACTCTCGCCGGGTGCGTGTGCGTGCGTGCCCAAGATCCCGAGAGGAGAATGGAGGAGAAGGGATTGCGGCGTGACCATCCCCCCTGGGGGGATGATATCTCGCTTTCTGTCTCTCTCTGTCTGGCAAGTGCACGTGCCCTATAGCAAAAAAACGCTCAAAAAAATAAAAAGTTTAAAAATGAAAAAAATAATTCTTTTAAAAAGAATTTATTATTATTAATATTTTAGAGAAATTTTTGCTATAGGGCTCACTTGTGTGCCAGAGAGACAGAGAGAAAAAGCAAGAAATCACCCTCCAGGATGATGGCCACACTGCATCCCTTCTCCATTCTCCCGGGATTTGGGGAACGCACACACATGCACTTGGCGTGAGTTTTAAGCCTCCAGGTCCAGGACTCAAACTGTAGTCAACTATGTAGGAGTCCAGCAATGTAACCATTATGTCATCTGCTGGTCCCAATTTATTATTATTTTTAAATAATTGACCAGAGAGAGGGAA